CATATTCCAGGGAGTGTGGGAATCAGCCAGGGGGAGAGTGGGAGAAAGGGGCATAGTTGGAGGTTTGTTAGGGGAAAGGATGTGGAGGGCTTTGAGGATGTCCCTGGAGGGGCTTGGAATTTTGCCTGCTTTTGATGGACAATCTTTGTAGATGAGCAGGGGGTAGTCAGATCTGGTTGACACTTGAGAAAGCTGCCTGTGACTGCCATGTGGCCTGTCGGGCAAGAAAGGAAGCAGTGAGGTCTGTTAGAAGGCCCTTGAAGGGCGGAAGATGCTGGTGGGTGGGGCTGGTTGTGTTCCAGGGATGCATAAGGGAACTCGGTTCGTGCTGACCTTTGTCCAGATCCTTCCAGGTGCCGGTCTGGGGCTTCTGAGGTTGGAGAGAGGTGGTGGAAGGCAGGGTCCCAGATGCAGGTCTCAGGTTGGCATTCCCAGGGAACTCAGATAAAGGAAGGGCCGGAACTTCTCTATGGGAACATGCTTACTCACTCAGCAGGCGTTGAGTGTGAAAGGCTCCTGTTGTGAGATTCTGCTGTGCACTCAGGGTCTGGAACACGTTTCCAGGCTGCCTGTTTCCGGGTAAATACTAGTATGGGATGCTCACACTGGCGCGCGTGTGTTTCACTTTGGGGTGGGGGTAGGTTTAGCCATCTATTCTGGCCAGTGCTGATGCCAATGACATTTCCTTAGTAAAGACCAACTCAATGAATGCGGGTTGGAACCCAAGGGGAAAAGCCCTTTGCCAGCCCCAAGGAAATGCTCACCGGGGCCCAGCCTGGAGTGTTCCATGGCCAGTGACTCATTCCTCACTCATCACAGGAGCAAGGAGGCTTCCAGAATGACTCAGAAATAGCCACAAATAGGTTAATAGAGCCTCACGTTTTCCCCGCATCTCAATACAGATGTATCTGTCCCCTGAATTTTAAATACTTTGGAATAGAAAATGCGAAAGGACTGTCAGCTGACTGCCTCTAAGCCTCAGAGATACTCTTAGTCTAGGGAAGTATTTGAATGTGAATTTAAATCTAAAAATTGGAATGGGTCACATTTGAAATCTGACTCAGCACAGAGACAAAAGGCGGACTGGTGGTTTTCAGGGGTTGCAGAGAGAAGAATGAGGAGAAAGTGCAGCTGAGTGGGGTTCTACTCTGGACTGCTGGAAATGTTTTAGAACAACATTGTGAAATTCTAAATGCCACTGAGTTGTTCTCTTAAAATGGTTAATTTATGTGATGTGAATTTCACCTCAATAAATTTTTTGTTGTATTAATTTTACTTTCTAAATTTTCTTTTCTAAGTAGTTTTGGGTTCACAGAAAATTAAGGTGAAAGAACAGAGATTTTCCCATATACCTTCCTGCCTCTTCCCACACATAGCCTCCCCCATTATCAGCATCTGCACCAGATGAAACATTTACTATAATTGATGATTCTACAGTGACACATCATAATTACCCAAAGCTCATAGTTTACATTAGGGTACATCCTTGGTGGTGTACATTCTATGAGTTTGGACAAATGTAATGATATGCACCTACCATTACAGTATCATATAAACTATTTCCATTGTATTCCCCTACCCCCAAATCCTCTGTACTCCACCTGTTCACTATCCCCTCCTACCCCCAGCAACTACTGATCCACTGTCTCCTTCCTTTTGCCTTTTGCAGCATGCTATATATTTGGAATCACATAGTATACTAGAGGCCCACTGCATGAAATTCATGCATAGGGTGCCCTCAGCCCAGCCTGCACCCTCTCCAATCCGGAACCTCTTGAGGGATGTCCGACTGCCGGACATCCCAGAGATTGGACCTAAACCAGCAGTCAGACATCCGTCTCACAATCCTGGACCACTGGCTCCTAATCACTCACTTGCCTGCCTGCCTGGTTGCCCCTAACTGGCCCCTCCCTGACAACCTTATCGCCCCTCACTGCCTCTGCGTGCCAGCCTGATTGCCCCTCACTGCCCCCCACTGCCAGCCAGTCATCCCCAACTGCCCTCTCCCTGCTGGCCTGGTCATCCCAAACTGCCCCCTTTGCCAGCCTACACAACCCTCACTGCCCCCCCTGCCAGCCTGTGAGGGCCCAACCTTGGGGGTCAGGCTGTGCCTGGCCACTCATGGAGGATACTTACCTACCCTGAGCCCCCATGTTCCTGCTCATCCCCCAGTCTTTGTATACCCTTTGCTCTCTGCTGACTAAATTTGTCCTTTAGATCTTAAAATGTCTTTAAAACTTTGTTTTTAACATATAATCCTCACACCATAAATGTCACCCCTTTGAAGTGTACAACTCAGTGGTTTTTAGTTCATTCAAAAGGTTATGCAACCATTGTCACTGTCCAATTGCAGAACATTTTAATCATTCCCTCCCAAAGGAATCCCATATCCTTTAGATCTCATCACTGCTAAGAAGCACCCCCTATCCCGAGCCATGGGCCCCTTCTCCCAGCCCCTGCAGCCCCGGGTCTGACCCCAGGCCTGATGACTGACTGTTGTGACCACATCTTGGGTTTTCTTAAAATGTCATTAAATGACCAAGAACTGTGTAGATGCCCTGCCTGAAACCCATACTGAAGGGTTGGTGCCAGGAACAGTATGGACAGCTGGTGGGATGCTGCACCACCTTTCTGATTGGACAGTGGCCAAGCTGTGTGAGTTGTTGAACATTCTGATGGTGACTCTTCTTACCCCATTAGTGACACCTTTCACACTGAGTTGAAATTGCCTGTTTGCTTCTCTGCCCCTTCGTCCCCAGAGATGTCCGTGAGGGCAGGACGGGGTCCATTATGTTACTGCACTTGGACCTAGCATGGTGCCTGGCTAAATATTAGGGTTTTTTAATGTGGTGCTGCTGCTTTACGCTCCATTTATTAAAATTGCATACTTCTAAAACGATTTTGAAAATCAACTGAAGACATGTATGTGCTGATTACAAATCCTATATCCTTAGACAATGTCAACTGCAGTTTCAATTGCAGTTTAGTCATTGTTTTGACTACCAGATTCATCTGCAAACAATAAGTATGCATGCACGGCAATTATAAAGTGTTCTGCTTTCTGTGTTTTGAGAGTGTTGGTGGCTAATGGACCCACAGATGAAAGAACTGTAAAATACAGCAACAAAATATGCAAAGTTGGAAAATAATATTTTGAATCAATGTCTTTGTAAAGACTTAAAAACAACAACACCCTCTTTTCTTTGAAATAATTTCGAAATTGCTATTACCAGAAAATAGGAAGAATAGTACAAAGAATTGATGAGTGTTAACACTTTGGTGTATGTGTGTGTGTGTTTTTGAAGCATTTAAAAGTAAGTTGCACATACCATGCTTCTGACCCCTAAATAGTTCACTGTGTATTACAAGGACAAGGCACTCTCTTACAGAAGCAAAGTATGATGGAAACTGAGAAATATTCTAATCTAGAATTCATAGTCCAATGTCTTTCTTCCCCAGTTCTTGCCCATTGCAATTAGTTGTTCTGGAACAGCTATCAGCCTTTCTTCTTTATCTTTCACGACATGAACAGTTCTGAAGAGTGGCTGCCAGCTATTGTATCTGAAGTTGGATCTGTCTGATGTTTCTCATGGTTGGATCCAAGTCAAGATTTGGGGCAGAAACGCTGTACAAATGATGTTCTGTTCTTAAAAAAACATTTGTTTTCCAGATCTGCCACTCTGTCACTCTAAATGTAGCCCAGGAATGGCATTTCCCCCCTCCACTACTTCTTATCTGCATCTTAGCCCCCAGGTTTTGCTATCTCTCTCTCTCTCTCAACACTGATGTGAGAGTGAAACATTGTTCAGCTGCCTCTTGCACACTCCTACTGGAACCTGGGCATATACCCTGACCAGGAATCAAACAGCAACCTTTTGATGCATGGGATGTCACCTAACCAACTGAGCTGGATTTTGGTCTTTAGTTCTCTTTACCACCTGAGGAATCCACGACTCCTTAAAGAGGAGTCAGTTCCGGCCGAAACTGATTTGGCTCAGTGGATAGTGTTGGTCTGTAGACTCAAGGGTCCCAGGTTTGATTCCAGTCAAGGGCATGTACCTTGGTTGCGGGCACATAACAGTAGGGGGTGTGCAAGAGGCAGCTGATCAATGATTCTCTCTCATCGATGTTTCTAACTCTCTATCCCTCTCTCTTCCTCTCTGTAAAAAATCAATAAAATATATTAAAAAAAAAAAAAGAGGAATCAGTTCCAAGTTTTGGGGCAGAAACTAGTTGGCTGGATTTGAAACATCCTTTTGTTATCAGAAAGCACAATTATTTCTTAAAATGTCACAGACTACCGAAACCGGTTTGGCTCAGTGGTAGAGTGTCGGTCTGTAGACTGAAAGGTCCCGGGTTCGATTCCGGTCAAGGGCATGTACCTTGGTTGCGGGCACATCCCCGGTAGGGGGTGTGCAAGAGGCAGCTGGTTGATGTTTCTCTCTCATCGACGTTTCTAGCTCTCTATCTCTCTCCCTTCCTCTCTGTAGAAAATCAATAAAAATATATATATATATATTTTTTTTTTAAATGTCACAGACTGTTATGAAGAATGAAGACAGAATTTTAATGGGACCCCACGGCCAAGCTGTGGTAGTGATCAGTATTTGCTGAATGAATTAATGAGTTCACTCAGTTCTCCCATTAAATAATTTATAAGTGGGCTCTTTGCTCCTAAGGTGCTATTGTTTTAAAATACACTGGTTCCTTTATAGTTTTGGGATGTAGAAAATAAATACCTTATTAATATTTGCAAACATTAGTGGATGTATCCTGATTCCCAGAATATTAAAATATTAAAAAAAAAAAAAGAAAAGAAAAGAAAAGAAAAAGAAATGCAATTTAAGGCAGGATTCTCTCCACTTTGCAAATGAGAAAACGGAAACTCCCAAGAGCCAAGTAATAGACCCAAGCCCACGTGAGAGCTAATATTCTATGCCTTTAAATCCACTTTCTAGAAGAATCTAGCAGCTCTTCAGAAACAAAAGCACATAAATGTGTGAATTCTACTTTTTACTTCCAGTGCAAACAAACCAACAGCACCCTACTCACAACAAGGGTGAAAACAAGCAGGAATCCAGGTTGCTTACCTCTAGCCTCTCCAGGGTGTCACTTGCTCTATATACCTTTCTGTCGGCTGACTTCCTGTCCTGCTTTCTGGAAAGTCAGTCCTTGGCTGCTCTGCTCTCTTTCTCTCCCTCAGTTAGTAACTCCAAGTCTCCTGTCTAAAAGCAGTGAGTGTAACCGCAGCTGGCCTCATGCTCTCCTCCGACAATCAGCTGTCTTTAAGTAAGCCTTCATTTTATGACCCTGATTCTTAGAGGAACCCAATCGCCTTGTCCTTCCCGCCCTTGGGAATCACCTGACAAAATAGAACATGAGTTTTACAGAGTTCAAAGTTTTCAGCACTAGAGCCTGTAGTAGTTAGCTACTGCTGCATAACAAATTACCCCCAAACCTAAAAAGGTAATAAGTATTTCTTACCTCACACTGAGCCTAAAGGTCAGGGTCTGGGAGCAGCTGGGTGGGGTGGCTCTAATGTATTCTTTCATCAGGGAGCTCCTAATGCCTGGGCGTCCTCAGCTGCTACTCTTTAACATTGGGGGGTGCATGATGAGGGCATTCTAATTCTATCATTCGGTCTTCATCAGTGAGCCGAAGAAATCTAGAAAGAGAAACCCTCCTTCTTCAAATATATAGTCATTACAAGAAATACTTTATAGAAAAATAGCATAATAGATACTTGATTCTTTTTTTTTTAAAGGAAGTAAGTTATTTCATATTTTATTGATTTTTTTCAGAGAGGAGGAGAGAGATATGAAGAGCTAGAAACGTCGATGAGAGAGAAACATCGACCAGCTGCCTCTTGCACACCCCCTACCGGGGATGTGCCCGCAACCAATGTATATGCCATTGACCGGAATCGAACCTGGGACCTTTCAGTCAGCAGACCGACGCTCTACCACTGAGCCAAACTGGTTTCGGCAGAAACGCGATTCTTATTCTTCCTTTTTGTTCAAGTAACGAGATCAGTCCCCAACATCCCCTACAGCTGACCACTGAGGGTTCAGTTTAAGAATCACATGACTGGCTGGCCAGCCTGGCTCAGTAGTTGAGTGACTTATGAACCAGGAGGTCACAGTTTGATTCCTGGTCAGGGCACAGGCCATGGTTGCTGGCTCGACCCCCAGTGTGGGGTGTGCCGGAAGCAGCCAATCAATGATTCTCTTTCACCATTGATGTTTCTCTTTCTCTCCCTCTCCCTTCCTCTCTGAATTCAAGATATTTAAAAAAGAATCACATGACTCATGGATAAGACAGTCTTATTGCTGCTTAAATTGTCGCACCTCTGGCCAGTGGGAGCCCCTTCCTGTTGGCTTCTGAGTCTTTCTGACCCGACTCTTGTGTCTTTGACAGCTTCCTTGCTACCTGGGCTGTGTCGAGGTCCCAGCCTTCTCGTATGCATTTCTCCACCTGCCCCTGGAATCGCCTTTTCTCCAAGGAACCCTGGGTCCTTTGGAGAATGGAGTGTAGAAGCCCCAGCCGGGGTTCATCTCCTGTGTCAGCTCTCAGGCTGTAGGGCTAGGAAGTGCATCAAGCAGGGCTGAGTATCATCCCGTTGTATGCTGGGGAGTCACTCTCGTCACCAAGCTGATCTGCGGAAAACTCTGGGCTGAGACTGAGTGAAGACTTTGGTTCTGGTGCTGATTCTGCCATTTAAGCAGCTGTGAGCCCATACTTTCCTGTGACCCAGAAAAGATGACCCTTCCTCAGGGAGTCGGTTCCCTCCAGGATGGGCAGCTGTCTGATGCCAGCAGCACATCACCTGCGTAAGTGCCTCTGTGCCAACCCTCGGCAGTTCACAGCACCTCTCCCAGCACCCGGTCCTCTGCAGAGCTGCTCTCTGTCCCCCTCTTGGTTCAGTTCTTTTCTTTGGGTGCCTTTGTTCCAAGGTAGGTGTTATAGGTTGACAGATTGTGGTGCTGATTCTGCTATCAGGGCAGCCACTAGTCTGTACTTCCTGCGGACTAGAAAAGATGTCCCTTCCTCAAGGTCACGTTCCCTCAAAAGGTATGTTGAAGTTCTAGCCTCCAGTATCTTGAAATGGGACCTTACTTGGAACAGGGTCTTGGCCGATGTAATTAGTTAAGATGAGGTCATGCTGCAGTAGGGTGGGCCCCTAATCCAATATGGCTGGCATTCTTATGAAAAGACAGCCATGTGAAGACAGCCATGGCGGGTGGAGAAGGCCATTTGACTATGGGGGTAGAGATCAGAATGATGTGGCTACAAGCTGTGGACTGAAAGGGTGCCAGCTGTCACCGGAAGGCAGGAGGGAGGCTTGGGACAGAGGGTCCCTCACAGCCCATAGAAGGAACCAACCCTACTGACACGTCATTTTGGACTATTGGCCTCCAGACGGTGAGGAAAAGTTCTGTCACCTAGTTTGTGGTGCTTTGTTACTGCTGCCTGGGAAATTCACACAGCCTGCTACAGCTTCTCTCTCTCCCCTGAGGGTGGTCTCTGGACCAGCAGCACTGGCACCTCCTGAGGACTCATTAAAATGCAGACGCTTAGCCCCCTCCCCACCCACCAAGCTCCTGAATCAGAAGCTTCATTTCAACAAGACTCAAGCATGTCAAATTCGGCAAGTTTAACGTGCTTAAACCAGGTGATTCCCATGTGGAGCACTGCCTTACACAAAAGGAGGGTAGTGGGATGGTCACTCCCATTAATTAGCTGGCACTAACGGAACCCATGCTGCCCACCAGGCAGTCTTCTAAGACCTTTTGCATGCACTCCCATTCTCATGAAATCTTCCCAGCAAGCCCACACCATCGGTACTGTCACCAGTGTATATGGCAGCGCAGGCATATACTGCATGACTCCAAGGAACATGATCAAATGGCGCACACACACACCACACCACATCACACACCCCCTCCCCCGGGTTGTGCATTGCAGTACCTCTGACTCTTATCCCATTTGCAGATGAGGAAACTGGGACACACACATGATAGATCCTCCCTTTCCCCAACTGGTGGGCGGAGTATGTCAACACCTGCACCTGCGGCCTGGACATTCCTGAGCACCTAACCAGGCACCTTATATGGACTGTACATTGAACCACCAATCAGCACCTGCCAAATACCCTGAGTCCCTAAGTGCCTAATCATGTGCCTTACATGAAACTACCAATCAGCATGTGCTGAGCACCATAAGCCCAATCTTCCCATTTCTCCCCTCAAAAGGTGTGTCCCCCTCTGCATGTGCTGCTACTCCTCCTTGCGGGGCAGCCTAGCAGGGCTCCTTCTCCTCTAATAAAGCCTGTAGTCCTGGTTTTTTGCCTCTGTCTCATCTTTCAACAAACAGAGGTTAAGTCACTTGCCCAAGTCACACAGGTCCTCAGTGACATCCTCGCCCCCCAACCTCACCCCTACTCTGCTGCCTTCTTTCTAAAGGGGAGCCAGTGAAGGTCATGTCTCTTGTTCTCCCCCCTTTCTTTTCTCTCTTAAAATGTGGTAAAATACACACAATGTAAAACTGACCATTTTAACCCTTTTAAAGTGAACAGTTCCAGTGGCACTTAATACATCCACAATGTTGTGCAACCATTACCATCAGTCAGTTCCAGAACATTTTGTCTTCCAAAAAGGGAAACCCCATGGCCATTAGGCAGTCAGTTTCCACTCTTCCTTTCCCATCCCCCAGCCCTGGCAATCGCTAATCACCTCCTGTCTTTATGGATTTATCTATTCTGGATATTTCATATGAATGGAATACTATAGGATGTGACCTTTGTGTCTGGCTTTGTTCACTTAGCAGAATGTTTTCAAGCTTCCTTCATGTTGTAGCATGCACTCATTGCTTTTTCTTTCTCATAGCCAGGGGACCTCAGTCTGCATCCCCCGCCCAGCAGGGCTGGACGAAGGACCTGAGACTGTGCCTCCCCACCCAGCACCAGGCTGGGGGACCTGAGGCTGTGCCCCTGCCCAGAGGAGCTTGATGGGGTTGGGGCTGGCTGAGTCTGAGGCTCACCCAATGTGGGTGGGGCCGGCTGGGTCTTAGTCTCCTGCATTTTTTTAAAGTGCATGCGTGTGGTGGGCCCCTGCGTGCCCCAGACTCTGACAGGAGGGAGATTTTATATACATTTTACTAATTTTCTTTCATCTCTGACACTTCTACTATAAAGGGCAAATAGCAATATTAAAATATTTCCTCTAATTCCCTTTTAATGTGCATGAATTTCGTGCACCGGGCCACTAGTATAGGATATTATTCCATGGTATGGATGTGCTATATTTTGTTCATCCACTCACCTGTGGATGACATTTGGGCTGTTTCTACCTTTTGGTGACTGTAAATAGTGCTACTCAGATCATGTACTCAAAAACTCTGGGTCTTTAGCTAAGGAATATGATCCCTGAGTCCAGCAGCAGCAGGAGGGTGTGGCCTGGGTGGGGATCACCGGATGCTTCGGGTAGAGGGGAGAGGGTTCCACACAAGGCCCAGCCTGGGCCACATCCAGGGGTCCACAGACTGTCCCTGAGGTTCACTTTCATTTTGTAGCATGAGCATATTCAGCCTCTAAGGTTGGAATGTCTCTGTAAAAAGAAGAAATACGGTAGTGACCAGAGAGAAGTCTGTTCTTTTACTCATTTCCACACTCAAACCTCTATTGTGCTGACCTCTGAATCAAAGCTGTGAGGACTTAGCAATCAGCATTGACTCGGGCATCCCAACAGTCTGAAAACTTGGCGGTCTCTGGCTCAGATGTTGGGGAGGAGGAGGATGTGCTGTTTGAAGTGGGAAGTCGGGGTCTGAAGGATGATGGTGCTAGCATTGCTGTGGAGCATTCTAGAGAAGAAAAGTCAGATTCCACCCAGGTGCTTCATCCTTGGAGCATGGGGTTTCTGAAGGCTTGCAGGGGTCGCTGCCTTTTCAGGCATGGGATCCTTCTGTCCCTCTCTGCTTTGTTCCTGGAACTGGTTTATCTTGAAAAGGGAACCAAGGAAGGCTCATCTATTGTAATGAGCATAGGAATCGCCTAGAGTCTTGTTAAAATGAAGATTTAGGCTCGGGAGGTCTGGGGTGGGGTCACCAGTCCTGCATTCCTAACAAGCTCCAGGGCACATGAGAAGCTGGCAGATGGAGAATGGCTGAAGGAGGCAGATGTCATCCTAGCTTTCTTCCTCTCACACTGGGGTCCCCTTCTGCCCACATTTCATGGTGGCATACTGCTGCTAGCAGAAGAGCCACCTGACTCCAAGTGGGTGTCAGGGCTGAAGAAATAAGTAGTAGCACCTCCTCACTTTTAACAATGGGGAAAAGCATGTCTGACATCACTGGTCAAGGCTTCTTCGTATTTTCTTCTGCTCTCAAAAATCTTGACTGTTAATGAGTCAAATAGGGAGATTACTATTAGCCACAACCACCCTGTGGTCTGGCATCCTGGGTATTTTATCTTCTGGAAGCCTGGTCTCCCATTTGACGGGTGAGTAAACTGAGGCTCTGAGTTTAGTAGCTTGTCCAGGGTGGAACACAGCAAGGATGGGGCTCAAATGTGGATTTAGCCTCCCTGGCCTTCACTGTACCCATTGTCCAGGTGGGGACTGGGCTGTGGGGGAAAGTAGGCATTTGTACTCCATATAGCAGTGGCCCTTTCTTTGCAGAGGGACTGGTAAGTGCAGAAGACAGGACCTCTTTTTGGAATTTTCTTCATGCATCCAACTGTAGTGGCCAATT